CCAAGTAGGTCCATTCCTAATTAGCTTACCCTTCTATACTCTTCTCCCATCTCATAAGAGACCAATTAGCTATTGATTTTTTTTAATTGATCACTCATACATAGCTCGCACCAAAAAACTAAGTTAATATCATTGATGAGGTTTGGACCTTCAAAAATATAGTTATAAGTTTTTTAGGTAATCTTAAGCCTTGGTATAGCTCACTAAAATCCAACAACATCAATCTAATATATTTAAATATCAATTTATAAGGCACTTAATTAAAAGATTATCGATCACTTGACTATAATATTTTGTTATTTACTATTGGAGTTTCACTGCGAGTTGTGAATTACCCTTGACAGTTGATACTTTATCTTGAAATGTTAAAAAAAAATATTTTTTTTGTTGAATAACAACATTGAATTTGATCTTTTCTTGGATTTGTATGTTTATTAAGTGCCAAAAATTAAAAAAAAAAACTAATGAATATATAAGATTGTTAAGTTAACATGTTTATGTTGAAAAGTATTTTGTTTTAGGTGGAATGATAACTTTGAACATTATCTACTTAAGCTCTTCCTTCTTGGTTTCTAGGACAAAATTTGTGATGCCTAAATTTATCAATCAATCTTAAATTAATCTAACTAATTTAATTTGGTGAGTTAATTTATTTGTTAGGTTCTTTATATACTATCAATCACTTAGATATGTTAATTTAGCCTTCATCTACTTGATTTGATTATCTCAAAGCATAGATCACCATATAAAGGATTGAATAACAATGTAATTTTCACTGATATATTCCTTGCTTTATTTTTGTATAAGGTAGAGCTAAAAAATTCAATAAAAATTCTTAATTTACTTAGGAAGTTATTCTTTATTATAAGATTTGTTCGAACCCCATTAAGGAATTGAATACTTTAATTGATCAATGAGTTCAGTAAAAATAATGGGAACTTTACTTAAGAGCTTGATATATTCACTAAGGAAACTAGGTATACCTTATAACTTAAAATATTCTAGCAATATAATCCTCTATAACATGCAAATATGGTTCTCAAAATATTAACCCATTTAGTAATGTAAAAACCCAAATTCTAAACAATAAAAAATGTTATTTTCCCTCTAAGATATATTGAATTTTTATCATTGTGCCATATATGCTGGGGTCTAATGTTTAAATCAATTTGAGCTATCTATATGATTATAACCCTTTGTTTGATTTCAAGCTTAGACTAGAGTTGATATAAGCATCCAAAAGCCCAATGTTTCACTCGATTGACTAGAGTAAGGCCAGTTATTTCCATTCCTACATATATGTTCAAGTTGAGCTTTTAATTATTCCTAGGTTGATGAAATAGTTAACTTAGTTTAAAACTCTCATTTAGTGTTTAATTTAGCCAAGTCTAACTAACTAAGCATAGGATCGTAATTTGAGCAAAATTTTAATAGGGACCTTTAAGAATTCTAATGGTTTAAATCATTCTATTTGATTTTATAATATTTTCTTGAAGTTTAACTTAAGTTAAATAACACTTTAATTCAATTTTAATTTAATAAAATGGGTTAATAAGGAGCTAAAACACTTAATTAGTAATTTTAAAAATTTAACCATATTTTAATTAGTTTGTTTGACTAATGGATTAATCAATTTTGATATTAACTTAAGGTACTACCAAAATTTAACTTCAACCCCTTTACCTAATTGGTCATTTTACACTAGTTGATCTAATTAATTGAACAATCCTCTGATAATTGGATCCTAGTCATCAAACAAAAAACTAAGCTAAATTAACTATTGGATTAGCCTAGATCAAGCTTAAGTTGAATTAAGCATAAAGTGACATATTTGATCCATTACAAAATCACACATTATAATTGATCAAAATAACATTTTTAATGATTTTATTAAGTCCAATTAAGTTAAAAAATAATCAAACTGAGTCAAGTTTTATTTAAATTAAGCCAATTAAATAAATGAACCCATGCTAGCCCAAGTTAAACCATTTGAATTCAATAGAACATACACCTTCAAATTGACTAATTAATTTAGCTCAACCGATATAATAAGGCTTAACAAGGCAAATATTAGCTAACCTTGCTTTATTCTCCCTTGAGTAGATGATATGCCTATAAAAACTAAGTTGGCCTACATGATCCCTTAATGATCGTTTGTCCAAATAGGTCAAATTAACCATGGACAACCCTTACAATTGGTTCAAAATAATTAATCATAAATTATTTGAGCATAATTTCACATTAGAACAACATAATTAACCAATGAATATAATTTAGTGCGACTTAACTCAAAAATTAACTAAGAGTGTTACTTAACAAAGTGACCTTATCAAATCACTTTATTTGATGTAAATAGGTTAGACCTGATCTCACTAAACCTAACAAAACGGTGCTTCAACTTATTATTCCAGAGGTTGTAAGCAAACACAAACTAAATACTTTAGAAACCTGTGGAACTAAAATTTCAATTAGCCAAGTTAACTCTACCTAATTCCTTGATTATATTTTAGAATCTTATCTTGCCCAAACTAGCTAGCGTAACCCAAATCCAATGAACCTTAACTATAGGATAGCTTGAATTAATCTTGACTAGAACTGGAATCCTAATTAACCCCTTATCTCTAAACTTTAGGACAATACATATGATTGCCATCAATAACATAAATGAATTTTAAACATTCACCTAGCAGAACCCTTGTTTTAGAACAATAATCCAAGTTTGTCCGACCCCACCATAAATAACTTCAAGAGATTTTTTGCTTTCCATCTCCTCCATAAGTGTTGGGACCTCAAAATTTTAAATTGAAGAAGTGGCACTTCCAGGCATGCAAAATTTATACCATAATTCTTTGTCTTAGAGCAAGTCATAACTTAGGGAAGAATTATACCACTCTTTACTTTTAGGCCTAAACATTAATTATAGAAGTTACACAAATAAATGATTAATAGAAATATTTTAAATTTTAGGTGAGTTAAGAGATTGAATAATTGATGAAAAAAATAAAATTTAATTTAATGGTTGGTGTTATAGATTTTTTATTGATTTATTTTATTCATGATTTTACCAAATGAATGACTATAAATATACATCATCATTAAATTAAAAAACATTTAATCATTCAAATGGTTTAGCATTGCATAGAAGATCAAGCTTGGTGTCTCCCTCCTAGATAAGAATATTGATGAGTTACTCTTAACATAATAATTATCCATTATAGTTAGCCATAAATGAGGAATATAATTTTTTTTTTCAATGTTATATTTTTTCATGGTTTATGAATTGTGTATTTTTTGCTTGTCACTTAGCTCACTATATGTCTATCTTTATCTTTCAGTAGTCTACCATGGCCATGGTACACTCCTAATAATTCTTCCTTCTTCACCACAATGTTAATCAACCTTAGAAAAAGTTTTGTCAAATCAATAATGCATAATCTAAGAATCATTTTATTCAACTTGTTATATTTCTGGGATTATATGGAAATATAGGTAGCATAATTAGATTTCTATATATGTTTACAAAGGTGAGTATTTTATTAGGATTGAATAAAACCAATTCATTAATCCTATCATAGCCAATCTTACTTAGATATAGTTGTATGGTTTAATGTAAAGATTTATTACTTTGCATACATTGAACTCCTAAGTATATACCTTCTCCATTATATTTTCCAACATTACGATTTAATTAAATTCAACTTATGTGGTTGTCAAGATATACACTTACGTAATGGAAACTTTGATCTAGACTAGATTATATGACTAATTAAATTAGATAGTATAATGTTAACTTATTCATGTCTTTTCTATTGATAGCACCTTCATATAATATAAGGAGCATAAACCCAACACAAAGCCCAAGTCTAACATATATCTTATTTATCCATTAAATTTGTCTCTTTCTTGATTTCATATCATAAAATTCCTTCGAATAATAGAATAGATAACTTTTAAGAGATAATATTTAGCCAAACTAGGTTGACTGCCTACTCAAATTAAATGCTCTAAAATTTGATGACTTGGATGATATATTAAATAAATTATGATCATATCATATCTATTATTTAATTAATCTATTATCAATACCTAATAAACTCTTAGAGCCTAATTATTGAATTTGACTTTTGCTGAGTTCATTCCCTTTATATACCCAAGATAAACTGAAACACTTCCATGATTTTCTTATTTTGGAGTGTGATATAATATGCATGTCTCAAGAAAATCTTGCTATGAGCAAGTTCAATAAAGAACTTTATATCAACATTTTCAGCATCTATTAAACTAACAATAAATTGACTTGTGAGCTTGAGTTTTAAAAGAAAGACCAAATATCTTGCCCCTTTCATCTATTTGCAGTGAGTGTGTAACCTCATGGATCATCATATTTTGAGAGACCTATGACTACGGTTGATTTAAAATTAAATTTATAATAATAATAATAATACAAATATGAGTATTTCATACAAAATTTTGATAAAATTAGTTTGCCTATGACACCAACTCATTTGCTTTTTGTTAAATCAATTATAACAAAAAAAAAAAATCATATTTCATATTGCTTGTTTTTTAATGAAGAATAGAAACCATGAGAAAAAAAATTAAAAACTAAATTAAAAAACAGTAGGCATTATGGGAATTCCAAATTTCATGGTAGAAATTGATTAGACTAGTTGGTCCAATCAAACACGACACAACTTGCTTTGATTCATCTACTTTGAGCCATTCCAAACATCTAATTTGTGTGTTACAGAGTCATTGGAATCATTGTGATAGATTAATCTTCTTGATAGTAAATTTATGTCATTTGGATTAATTTCAACATCTAAACTAATTTCGGAAGTATCAATACTTATTTCAATCTCTTTTAAGCACTCAAAGTTTCCCTTATTATGTCAAATATTACATGAAAATTGTAAAATCAAATTTCCAAGGAAATTATTGAAGTAATAATGCAAACTCTCTTTCAAAGTCACTCATTATAAGGATTAGAATTAGAACTAGACAATTCTTAAAGTTCATTATCCATTACAATATGGAGCTTATTTGTTAGTATATAAACTCCTTACACCATCTTATATATAAGTGCTGCATACAACAAGAAATGCTTAGCCAATTTTCAATGAAGGAGACATCATTAGATCAATGCCTATGTTCATCCCATTGTAAGCTATTGGTGCGTACATCCACAGTTCATTTGAGCTCAAAAGCTAAACAAAAGAGAATAGAAAATATAAATCAATCAATCATATGATCTTAAAAAATTTTGTTATTTATACATTTTGGTTGTTACAAGGCTTGCATGTAAACTTTACCTTAATTTGAACCTGCAGAAACTTGACATACTGAACTGCTTCTTCCAGCATTGTGCTGATGTCTACCTATAAAAAATACCACCAGCATTTTATTTTATTGTATTTTCTTGGTTTGGTTAGTAATATATTGATTTCTGAAGTAAAAAATGGAAAAATCATAAAATAATGAAATAATTTTCAAGTAATTATGAGATTTATCATTAAATGTTCTTATATTTTTTTATATTTTCATTTGAATCACAAATTACACTTACTTTGGTTCCATTTGGGACCAAATTCTGCAGTATCTTCAATCTCTCATTGATCCTTTCCCTCCTTTTCTGCATGAAATAGTTTGATGCCATTCATTAGAACTCATAAAATTCCATCTTTATACTATTATTCACTATTAGGGTAACATGAAGAGATATTCATGAGCAACAAATAAGATAACTCTTACCCTTGCATACAAACTCTGTGGATCTGTTGCTGAACCCCTACCCGCTCTAATCGTTTCATTCGTGTTCCGAGACATCAATCCCTTGGGCCTCGTGCTTGTGCTCGTACTCGTGCTTGTGCTCGTGCCATCTCCATTCAACTCTTGTGAAGTGTTAGCCTCATCTTCAGAGCAGTAGCAGTTGGAACTTTGCACAATAGGAGCATAACCATAGCCCACTTCCTCTTCTCCAACTTCATCAATCTTATCAGCTTTATTAGACTTAAAACTCTTTCTGCCACTCTT